GCTCCTGCATTGAGCGTTTGCCCCCTAGTGGTCAGTGTGTGTCATAGTGACCAGTCATTCCCAGTCGTTCTGCTGTTAGGGTCAATTTGCATATTACCCTTTTATTATATAGGTTAGAGGCCTGATGCATGGGTGGGGCCCAGCTGGTTTGCCCTGAGGGTGTCCGGATCAGGGTGGGGGTCCCACTGGGGTGCCTGGCCAGCCTGGGTGAGGGGCTGATGGCCGTTTTCAGGCTGGCCACGCCCTCCGGCAACCCAAGCTCCCAGCCTCTCCTTTTTTCTTTTTTCCTTTTTTTAAATATATTTTATTGATTTTTTACAGGGAAGAATGGAGAAGGATAGAGAGTAAGAAACATCAATGAGGGAGGAACATTGATCAGCTGCCTCCTGCACACCCCCCACTGGGGATGTGCCCACAACCAAGGTACATGCCCTTGACTGGAATCGAACCCAGGACCCTTCAGTCCGCAGGCCAATGCTCTATCCACTGAGCCAAATTGGTTAGGGTTCCTTTTTTTCTTTTTCTTTTTTCCAGGGCAGCTGAAGCAGGTAGCTGGGATTTATTTATCTTTTATAATTGAAACTTTGTAGCCTTGAGTGGAGCCCAGTGCCGGCCAGGGCAGGCGGGAAGCTTGGCTTCCTCCATCACCGGCAACAACCCAAGCCTCCTGCTCACTCTATCTCTGTGGCCACCACCATCTTTGTGACAGAGTGACAGAGTGATGGCTAATTTGCATATTACTCTTTTAGTAGATAGGAGATATATAGTAAATTAGTATGACAATCTTTGTGGGGTCCAAATCTATTTGTGCTTTGGAAAGCACAGCTTGATGGCAGAAAATCACTCTTTGTCCAATATTGGGTTATTTGGCATTGCTGACCAAGGCCTTGAAAGAAAGTCTGCATGACTTTGTGGTTCTAATTTGCAACCTGGTGCCTCTATTATTGGTGAGGTTGATGGTCACCCAGGATAGGAGTCCTTTGTTGTGCCTGTGGGAACAGTATAAATTATATTGTCCATTGACAGTAAGTATTGCATAATTCTCAGCAATGTTTAGGAGAATTCTTCCCCACATACTGTAAAGGAGCCATGTGCCATGATGTATGAAATATCATAGGCTGGTGTCACTTGTTAAGTCTCTGAGGTTTAAATGGAACTAGCATTAGAACAGAAACACTGTATTCCTAGTGAGTGGGAAAGACCAGAAAATTGGATGAAATGTGCCTCTTCTGAACATTTTTCACAAATGATCAACGGTCTTTGCCTTCTGTGATGTTTGCTTACAACATTCTCAGGGCCTCCATAACTGTATTCTGTGGCTGAAGTCATTGGCAGAAAAAAATAAACACACATTTTTTTTTGGAGTCTCCTGGCCCATCTAGAGTGTTCACCTCAAGGTTTCTTCAACTGGCAAGACCTCAGAGCTAGAGAAAGGATAATCCTATAATCAGTCTCAGGTTGTATTTTTTGTAACCTGTCAGCATTCCTGGGTATTCCAATGGCAAAAGCCTACACTGGATGCCAATATTTGCTGCCCCTGAGGTAAGACTGGTCCTCCCAGGAAACTAGGAGAGAGATGGTAGAGCCCATGTAAGGTTCCCGTTTTAATTTAAGAGGTGGGGGCTGGCCAGGGCGAGGGGCTGTGGGACTTTCAGGGTGGTGGGGGTCCATCAGGGATGTGTCCAGCCAGGAAGAGGGGCTGCAGGAGGTTTTCCTGCCAGCCCCACCCCCTGTTGAGGTGTGGTGTTGATCAGGGGCAGGGCTGGACAGGGGGAGGAGCTGCAGGAAGTTGGCCACCCATCCCCACCCCCATTTAGGTTGGAGGCATGCTATCAGGTGCAGGCCAGACAGGGGGAGGGGCTGTGGGCCTATCGTGGTGGGGCGGGCTGTTCAGGGGCATGGCTGGCCAGGGGGAAGGGGAGGGGGCTTTTGGCCAGCAGGCCCCGCTCTTTATTGGGGTGGGAGAGTCTGATCAGGGGCAGGCCAGCAGGGGGGAAGGGCCACAAGGTTGGCCACCAGCCCCACCCCCTGATCGGTTTGTTTTGCTGGCCACAGTGCACGTCATAGTGACCGGTTGTTAGATTGTTATGGCCATTACAGTAGCTGCCTTTTTGTATATATAGAATAGTGGCCAGGTGAACAAAATTCGTGCACATTAAAAGGGAATTAATTAGAGGAAATATTTTAATATTGCTATTTGCCCTTTCTCTCTAGTAGAAGTGTCAGAGATGAAATAAAATTAGTAAAATGTATATGAAAATCTGCATTCTGTCAGAGTCAGGGGCATGTCGCAAGACCCAAAGTCAAGTGCCCGCCCACACGTGTGCACCTCAAAATTGTGCAAGACCAAGACACAGCCAGCTGAACCCCTGTCAAGCACCACAGGGCAGGGGGTGGGGCCTCAGATCACCCAGCCCAGTCTCAGGTTCCCCAGCCCGGCGCCTGGGTGGGGCATGCAGTATCAGGTCACCCAGCACAGCTTCATGTCATCCGGCCCCGTCGTTGGGGCAGGGGGTGCAGCCTCAAGTCTCCTGGCCCCCACACCAGGGTGAGGGGCACTGCCTCAGGTCCCCTGGCCCAGCTTCATGTCATCCAGCCATGGTGCCAGGGCAGGAGGCGAGGCCTCAGATGGCCCAGCCTGGCCTCAGGTCCCATGGCCCCAGCTCTGGGGGCAGGGAGTGTGGCCTCAGGTCTGCCAAATTGGCCTCAGGTCCCCCGGCCCTGGCGCCGGGACAGGGATCATGGACTCAGTTCCCCCTTCACCAGCACAAAGGCGTGAGGGCTTGAAGGCATGAGGGTGCGAGGGTGTGACAACCATTTGCATATTAGCACTTTATTATATAGGATTGCTGACTCTATTACAGATGTTCCTAGTTTCTGCCATAGTCCTCCCCCCTTTTCTTCCTCTACCCTGCCCCCACTGCTTCTAGTCCCTCATCACATTATTGTCTATGTTCATGGCCTGTGCATATCTAATCTAATAAAAGAGAAACATGCAAATTGACCGTACCTCCGCTAAACCCACCAGCCACGCCCGCCAGCCATGCCCACCACCCATGCCCACCAGCCAATCAGGAGAGAATATGCAAATTAACCCAACTTAGATGGCAGCGGCCATGAATCTGGAGCGAGCAGAAGGCTTGGGTTGCCCCCGGCAATGGAGGAAGCCAAGCTTCCTGCCTTCCCTGCTGGCTCTGAGCTCCACTCAAGGCTACAAAGTTTCAATTATAGAAGATAATTAAGTCCCAGATACCTGCTTCCATTCACCATGGCCTCTGCTCAAGGAGGGGCTGGGAGACTGGGTTGCCCGGCACAACCCAGGCTTTCAACCGAACCAAGGCTACAAAGTTTCAATTATAGAAGATAAATAAATCCCAAATACCTGCTTCCAGCCTGCCACTGTGGCCAGCCTGAAAATGGCATTCAGCCCCTCACCCAGGCTGGCCAGGCACCCCAGCGGGACCCCACCCTGATACGGGACACCCTTCAGGGCAAACCAGCCAGCCCCGACCTGTGCCCCAGACCTCTATCCTATATAATAAAAGGGTAATATGCAAATTGACTCTAACAGCAGAACTACTGGGAATTACTGGTCACTATGACACACACTGACCACCATGGGGCAGATGCTCAATGCAGGAGCTACCCCCTTGTGGTCAGTGCGCTCCCACAGGGGGAGCTCTGCTCAGCCACAAGCCAGGCTGACAGCTGCCAGTACAACGGTAGTGGTGGGAGCCTCTCCCGCCTCCTCAGCAGCGCTAAGGATGTCCGACTGCAGCTTAGGCCTGCTCCCCAGTACAACGGTGGTGGCGGGAGCCTCTCCCGCCTCCTCAGCAGCACTAAGGATGTCCGACTGCAGCTTAGGCCTGCTCCCCGCTCGCAAGTGGACATTTCCTGAGGGCTCCTGGGCTGCCAGAGGGATGTCTCACTGCCAGCTTAGGCCTGGTTCCCCGGGTAGCGGGCCTAAGCCAGCAGGTGGACATCCCCGGAGGGGTCCCAGACTGCGAGAGGGCACAGGCCGGGCTGAGGGACACCCCCTCCCCGCCCCAAGTGTTCAAATTTTTGTGCACCGGGCCTCTAGTATGTATATACTTTGTTTAAAATATTTTTGTTGATTTTAGAGAGTGGAAGAGAGAGGGAGAGATAAAAACATCAATGATGAGAGAGAATTGCTGATTGGTTGCCTAGTGCATAAGTTCACGCCCACACTGGGAACAGCCTGCAAAACATGTATGTGCCCTGACCAGGAAAAGAACCAGTATCACATGACCTCAACATTTGTGGAATATAATAAATAGCATAAATCAATGAACAAATATAGATTCAGAAACATAAGCATTAAACAGACTGTCAAACTTCAGAGAGAAGTCAGGGTAGGGAGGGGTTAAGGGATCAACTAAAGGACTTATATGCATTCATATAAGCACAACCAATGGACACTGACATTATGGGAGCTAAGGGCATGTGCTGAGGCATGGGTGTGGCTGAGCAGAGCTCAATGTGGGGGAAAAGGAATTATATGTAATACTATATATAATACTTTAAACAATAAATTATTTTAAAAATAATAAAATGAAAAGAACCATGACCTCCTGGTTCATAGGTTGAGGCTCAACCACTGAGATATACCAGCTGGGCTACATTATTTTAAAATTTATGAAAATACATATATTTTTCATTGGTGATAGTATTATCAATGTCTCCCATTTCCCCCCTCCCTATATATTCTTTGGTGGATCCCTTGCATTCCTCCCACCTTCTTCCCCTCAGAGATCTGTTAGTCTGCTCCAGTTAGCCAGGCCTCTGGTCCCATCTAGTCCCTCCCAAGGCGTCACTTGATGGGCCACAACACCTTTATTCACCTAAGTCATTGGCTGGGATGACAGCACTGTCCTGGGCGGTTGAGAAAACTACATTTCCCAGAAGGAACTGCACTCATGTGGGCGGTGCTAAAGTGCATTTTGGTGTTTACGCATCCGTTTAAGGCGGGATTTCCGCCTTCCTCCTCGGGGTGATCATTTTAGCTTTTTAGGTCTTTGTTCACAGACTCCCAGGCTTCAGGGCACTGGTTGTGAGGAGGAGGAGGCCTGGGAGCAGCGTGCCTGCTGTGCGGGGTGTGTCTGAGGCTCCTTGAGCCCCAACAGCCCGAGATTGGCGTCCCCGTGCCTCCCGGACTCCTCTCTGCTCACAGCGTCCCCGCAGCCTGACCCCAGTTCACCCTCCAGCCTTGGGGACCGGCCCCTCAGGTCCCGCCGCCCAGGTCCCAGCGCTCAGAATGGTGAGTCCCTCGTGGGTGACACATGGCTGATGGGGGAAGAGGGTGAAAGGCTGCAGTGCCGCCTTATAAGGACGTGATGGTGCGACTGAGCAGGGAGGA